ATACCAAATTACCTTGGATAAAGGGCAACCTACATACCAAATTTCGTTGAGATATCTCGAGTTATCGTGTACGCGGACAGACGTGTATATATTTTTTTTTTTGATTTTTTTGGACTTAGCACATTTGCGTACCAATGAAAAACAACAAGTAAAAACGACATTACGGTAATTTTCTTTTTTGGTAATGATGTATTTTCAGTTATGCTATCTTACTACATCAAAATGTCAATTTACATAAAAAGTGGACTTAGCACGTTTGCGAACTAAGCCAACGATATGTCTATACTTTGGAATATACTATATGTAAAGCAATATGGATATAGTTGGGCTATAAAGAGCACAAATACATATGTACTAACTTAGGTTGGAATATGGCGGGATTTCAACCCGCGCTTTCGGTGATGCCTCTTAACCAGAGGTCGAAAATATCCCTCTCCACTTTGAAGGTGTCCCAAAATAACCGTCACTATTTAAGAGAAAAAATAACCCACAAAACAGAACAGGTGGTTTATTTTTTGTAGATATTTGCTCCTCTCATTGGGAAAGGGATATTTGCATATATTTTTTCCGTTGCTTTTGGACATAGACACTTATCGCTGGAAGAGGAAAAATAAGTGTTGGAGCGCGGTTACCCACGAACGCCCTTATATTAGTAAAATTTTTAAATTTACCTTGATCTTAATTTTTGCATTTATCCTTACGCTTCTTTGTTTTTGTTTTTATTTTTACCTTTGCCTTTATCCTTTTATTTACCAAGAAAATAAAATAACTTATTTTCGGTGTATCATATTATGAATGTGCACGCTCACTTCTTTGTCATAAATGTTCGCAAATGTATGTGTACGTATATGTCGTGTAAAGATATGCCTAACGCTTTGCTTCCACTTATGTACGACCACTTATATTTTTCAGTCTTACAATAACCCACAAATTAAGACACTTAAAAATAAAAGTCCCTGCCAAAGTGTCTTTGCCTAATGGAAATTTTAGCAGTTGATAAATAACCCACAACGGAAAACACAAAAAGATCGCACTGAGTGATATGACACGGTGAGAAACACTCTTTGCTTTAGATGTGAGTGTTTGTGTCAGTGGTAAACACCATACAAGACACTTGGTGGCGGTCATTTTCGATCTCTGCTTTTAACACACTTACCTCTACATAAGCAAACACTTACTAAAGTTCAAAGCGTTCATTCCTCATTAGAAAAAAAGATCAATATAAGGATCTAATTTTGTGAATTTAGTATTGATATTTGGAATATCGAGTCTTTTTATCCCGACATTATGGGGTACAGCGATACTTTAAATGAGTACTATATCGATACTTTCGGTTCCATATCGTGTTCCTAACCGTATTACAAAGCAAACAAAATTTGTTATTCTTATTCGATATTTCTTAAATAATTAATTTGCGAAGTGGACCGAAATGGAAGTGAACAAGAATTCAAATTTGTTATAATAATAATTGAAACTTAAAACGGGCTGTATAACGAAAACCAGCCTTTTGTCACTTCGCGTCAAATGAGTTATGTGCTTATACCTGTTTTCTAACCGATGTGAGAAATAAAAAAGCGATTTGAAAACAAATTCGAGCCAATACACTTTTGAATTTCTAAGCGTATTGAAAGTTGGTTTATGCTTCCGTTTTGAATCATAGCGAACTGGGTCAAAGCGCTTTATGTGTTGGCACAAACAATGTAAATATTTTTCCGAAATATTTTGATGGAAGTCTTAAAATTCAATAGAATTTAAAATTCCACTGGAAACACATACCTTGTTTATACCAATGTAAGAACCACATTTATAATGAACTGATTTGACTCAACACATATTTCTTTCAAAAGTTTATACCTGTTTCTTTAGAGCGCCCTCGCTGAAACTGTCTTCAAAAATAAACAAAATTTGTTATTTTCTTTCGATATTTCTTTAATAATNCACAAACAATGTAAATATTTTTCCGAAATATTTTGATGGAAGTCTTAAAATTCAATAGAATTTAAAATTCCACTGGAAACACATACCTTGTTTATACCAATGTAAGAACCACATTTATAATGAACTGATTTGACTCAACACATATTTCTTTCAAAAGTTTATACCTGTTTCTTTAGAGCGCCCTCGCTGAAACTGTCTTCAAAAATAAACAAAATTTGTTATTTTCTTTCGATATTTCTTTAATAATTAATTTGCGCGATTGGCCGAAATAGAAGCGAACAATAATTCCAATCCTTACTAATATTATAAATCAGAAAGTGAGTTTGTTTGTTTGCTACGTTTTCACGCTTTAACTACTCTACCGATCATCATGAAATTTTGTACACTCCTGTCATTTAGCCCAACTTAAAATATAGGATACATATAATTTCGATTATAAAAGGGGGCGTGGCACCTCCCATACAAACGGAATTTTTCATACTGCATTTCTCAGGAAACATTTTTGGTAGATTACTGGAAATTGGTATGGAGATATATAAAATCATTATCTACTTATGGATAAGAGCTGCCACCTTTTACAAAAAGTCAAATCCAACTTCAGTTAAGGGAGTTATTTATTTGAAAATTATATTAAAACAAGAATACGCCCCATTATTTTTATGAACTTTCGTATTTGAAATTATCATATTTTTTTTCTTAGTAACATTTAATTTAAGTTTGTTTTGACATAATTTTTTATAGAGTATTTTTAAATCATTATTTAATTGTAGAGTGGCTTCGTCGATTGAATCGGCAATGATATATACAGGTGTGTAATCTGCAAATAATCTGAAATAACGATTCTCTGGAAGGGGGAGTATTGTAGGGTTTATGCTTTATATTGCACTTGCTTCATTACTTTACTTTGTTAATTTTGATATTTTCGATATACCTAAGTTAGCTTTGTGAAATGTAAATCAAAAAGAAAATTTTTCTCAAATACATACATACATATAATTATGTAGTAAAAAATAAAGGTAGAATGTCGAGATCATTGGCAGCAAAGGCTTCCTTAGCTACTCGAGTTGACGCCTTTGGAGAGGAGGCGAGTTGTGAACTAGGAGCAACTCATGAGGCTGAAACTAGAGGCACGCCTGCGATCGCTGGAGGAAGGCAACCTACGCAGACTTTCTGGCACTGGAAAAGCAAACGCCATATTCAAAAAATATCAGGCTAAAAGGTAATATTTGAAAACCACATGTGTTTGTAAATCAATCTCTTTCCACAAAAATGATGTTTCGCATATTTCCGATCACATGAAGTGACAATAAAGCTTGGCTGTCTGATTGTGCAATAAAATAGTTTGCAAACATGAAACTTTATTTTTTTAAACAGTACTAACGGAAATTTTAAATTTATTGCAGCGAGGTATTTCTTTTGGAACTCGAGGCTGATAGCACAATATCCGTTAAAAAGCGAGAACACTCAGAATCATCTCCAGC